GTGGATGACATTTTGGTGGCTGGGTCTGACGAGGATTGGGAGGAGTTGCATGCTTCTCTTGTTCGTGAATTGTGGCTGTAGTATCGAATGTATGACGTGTATTGCGGTGTAGTAGGTGATACTTGGTATTGTAACGAAACGTAACACAAAGGTCAGTAGATTGCAGCGAGTAGATTGCAGCGAGTAGACTAGGTTGCAGCGAATAGATTGCAGCGAATAGATTTATTGCTTAGGAAAAGCTGTAGCGAGAAGCCATGGGGAGCGCAGCCCACCGTGCTCACTCCACCTTGCCGACCTGTCTCTCCGGGCAAGTTCTCATTAATACACCACATATTCCTCCAGAAGTCACGAGTTTCCAACACGCTATAGCGACAAAAGTCAACTGCTCCAACGTCCCCCTGGGCGGCACGAGTCTGTACGAGAGACGCCTGATCAACCTATCTCATCATGGCCGGTGAAGAAGGGAAGTCTGCGGATGACCCACCTCAGGGTAATTCGCAGGATGTTGGTGAGAAGATGGTTTCCCTAGATACGCAGTTGTCCCAACTTACGACTCTAGTCACGTCGCTTGTTGGCCAACAGAGGGAGCAGGTGGAGTCCTCTGTTTCGGCTGCCGCGCCGGGAGGCCTCGGAACAGAGACTGGTACGCATCCTTCTGATGCTACTGGTAGGACCGCGGGAGGTACGGGCGGCGATGCCCAAGGCCTTGGCGTGTCCGGCATGCGGGTTGGGAGTAGCAGTCTTGTAGACTCAGGCTTGAACCCTCATGTGACTGCTGTTAATCGTTCCTCTGCTGGTGCTGCAAGCTTTGGTTCGATTGGAATTGGAAGTGGGGCTTTAGGTAGCCAGTCTTTCGTTCCCGGGACTGTAGGTGGGGCTTTAGGTAGCCAGTCCTCTGTTCCACCCGCACCTACTCCGTCGAGTAAGTGGTGGGAAAGTGTCGCCAGTGGAAACACATTGATTCCTGGGGCCGGCATCACAGATTCAGGAGAGAAAATGGGTAGGGGTCCTTTTAAAGTCCCCAAGGCTCCTGTTTTCGATGGGACCGACGTGTCCTATCCCTCGTGGTCACAGAATTTTCTGCTGAGTGCCCGGCACAACAATCTGTTTGAAGCGTTTGTTTCTGAGACTGAGATTCCAATTGCTGACATTGGTTTCGACTTGACCCCCTGGGTAGAGAAAGGATTCAGTGTGGGTGTGCTGCGTCAGGCTGAAATGGGATGGTGGTTTCTGTTTGATTGCTTGAAGAAGGAAAGTCTGAAAACTATGGCTAGGCACGCTGGTTCCCCCAGCAAGGCGTTCCGAGTGCTCAAAGATCACTTCCTACCGTTGAGCCAGAGTCAGATTCGTGTGCAAGAGGAGAAACTCAAGTCATTGCGCATGCGTTCGAATGAGAATCCCTCCATCTTCTTTACATCTATGAGAGAGACGCTTGGTGTGCTTCAGATGCTGGAAGTTAAGAAAGATGACAGAGAGGTATGCAACCTGATGCTCGAGGGATTGTCACATGAGTATAAGACCCTGCGTGAAACTCTGGTGGTGTTCTGTCCGAATGAACCGTCGTTCATAGAGACTAAAGTGCGTGAGAGGTATCTCGACTTGCTGACTCAACCTGGTCCGAAGAAACACAGTGTTGCACTCATGTCTAGACCTGTGAGGAAGAGTGCGAAGAAGCAGAACCAGAAGTCAAAGTCTAACTCCGAGTCTGATTCGTCTAAGAAAAAGATTTTTCAGGGGAAGTGTTTCAAGTGTGGGGAGAAGGGTCACTTGAAGATGGACTGCCTGGCTCGTGTGATAGCTCATCCCTCTCAGACCGGACCATCCGAGGACGACAAGGATGAGAACGGTGAGAAGTCTGACTTGGTGTTGTTGTTATCTCAAGCCAACTCAAGCGAATGGAGTGGTGGCAAGTACATTGCAGCAATGTATGCCAAAATCATGCAGAAGTGGCAGGAGTCCCGTGGTAGCAGTAGAAATGATGCTGTTTTGGAACACCATGATACCATGTGTCTTGGAAGCGTTGAATACCGAAGCAGAGGATGAGTTGAAGAAGTACGTCGGCAGTGACCGTGT